AATTACAATTATAATGTTTATGGTAAGCGGTCTTTGGCTGGGTTTTACTTGCAATGGAATGTATAACATATAAAATATGTTAAACATTATACTGAAAGTAAAACATCATTGCCCGGGTCTAACCACGAGGAGGTAACCGCTTCCGAAGACCCAAATTTGAATAAATATTCATTAAATTTGATTTGCCAGTAGTACGAATCGATTTTAACTCTTTGAAGTCTAACAGGTAACTAATTAGAGAACAGTATAAGTAATAGGAACAATTTACGATTACGAAACAAAGTAAGTAAAGAAACAGTCATGTAGCACAATCATAAATTAATAACGTATCCAAATTGTTTTCTATTCGAAGTACTTTAATAGGTATGTAGTGTTAAAAACAATGTATATGCGTTCCAACTAATCTTAAATATAAGTAAAGTGTACTAGAATATTAAAATAATTGTTAATTAATCGATAGAAATGTACACTGTAACGTAAAATTGAGGATGTACCTGTTGATGTACCTTCCTCTTCGAAATCTTCTGTTAGACTGAGACGTTGTCACAGAAAAAAGCTTTTTCTATCGAAAATTGTTTATATGGCATTTTGAGAGTTGCGCATGTGTGTATAACGAAAATATTAATTGAATTAAATAGAAATTAAGATTATAACGCTCTAATTTTACATTTTTTAATATTCATGCAATTGTTTAAATAAATGTAAATTTTGTTTAACGTTTTTGTTCAGTGCTGACTTTGGTGGGGAAAATTTTCATCAAAAAGAGTATCATATTGAAATCATTTAATATTTAAAAAATATTAAAAAGTATGTATTGCTTATACTAGTACATATATGTTTAAACAATCTGAAATATAAAGAGAGTATATCCAAGCGTTAAAAAAATTGTTAAATAATTAATGAAAATTTATATTGTAACGTAAAATTGAGGATGTACCTGTTGATGWACCTTCCTCTTCGAAATCTTCTGTTAGACTGAGACGTTGTCACAGAAAAAAGCTTTTTCTGTCGAAAGTTGTTTATATGATTTTCCGAACGTTGCGCATATGTAGAAGGGGAATAATCCTCCTAATCAATAAAATTTTAGATTATAACGTTCTCATTTTAGTATTTTTTTAATTTCAACGTAATTGTTTAAACTAATGTAAATTTGTCATAACGTTTCTGTGCAGTGATGACTTCGGAGGGGGAAAATTACATCGAAAAGAATATCAAATCAAAATAATTTAATATCTAAAGTATGTTAATAAGTATATGTAATGCTTATACTAGTACATATATGTTTAAACAATCTGAAATATAAAAGGAGTGTATTAGAGAATTAAAATAAATGTTAATTAATCGATAAAAATGTCTATTGTTGTTAAAAAGCTGGGAGTATATGTTCTRTGATCCGWCTTCCTCGAAATGCACCTTGAGACTGGCACTTTCCTTCTCATGAAAAAACTTTTATTGAAAGTTGTTTATATGTTTTTCCGAACGTTGCATATGTGTGTAAAAGAAATAATTCATTTAATCAATAAAATTTAAGATTACCACTCTCTTATTTTACAATTTTTACATTTTTATGTAATAGTTTAAACTAATGTACATTTGTTGTAACGTTCCTGCATAGTATCCCTTATACATATTTCCTTTATACAATTTTGCATATATA